ACTCAAAACAAGTCACCTTCTGAGTCGAATCCTGTATTTTTTTTTCCACATAGAAAGTGAGGCGATTGAGCTAGGCAGTCGTTGTGTTCTTAGCCAGCTGAAGAATGTGGTTTCCTTTGAACTTAAATGAAGAGACAGCTGGTTTTGGTGCAGCGACGCTGTGTGTGCTGTGGATGTTTCTGGCAAGCAATAGCAGGAGGCAGATGAGATCTAGAACTTCTACACGGGTTTTGCTGTTATTGCTAGGGACTGAATCCAGAGCCTCATGTGCATACCCTCTAATAACGCTATCAAATGTTGATTAATCCACACATGAAGTCAAAGCCCTGGTGATCCAAAGACTCTCCAAAGCCTTGCCCCTGATCATTGATGCATGGAGACCAAACCTTCAACATGTGAGCTTTGGGGGGACAGTCCAGATTCAGATAATTTAGATTGTGCACTGGGCTGCCCAGCAAGATGGAGCAGGAGTCATTGCTTCCTAACTCCCTACAGGTGAGGACTCAAGAGCACTCCCCAACAGTGGGAGTCTGCAGAAGACCCCATTCAATTCCCCAGTGACTGATCTTTTCTTCCCGCAACCTGAGGTCTAATGGACCTGCAAAATGGATCCTACATCCAAGGCTGGAGCAAAAGCTCCAGGTTCCCAGTTAAGGTACCCAAGCTTAGGGCCAGTCACAGATCAGAGGGTCCTTGTGGATGTCTATGGATAATAATGAAACTAGTTATTCAACCTCTCAAATCCAATGTAGGGAAAGGCAGTCACTGGGCCAGCTATATTTTGCATGTATAATAAAGGGTAATATAGATTTGGCTAATCTGGGTAATGGTCTTTACTCTTATTCGGTGGGATTAACACTCTTCTCCCACATTGCTAGCTCTCTGGGTGAAGCACACTTTAAAGACTCCTATCTTTGTCTAGTGGCATTGATAGTTACAGGTAGCACACACTCAGGCACTCCATTTACAAAACCTAATCCTCCTGCCTCAGCCTTCCAAGTGTTGACATTACATGCAGGCATCATACTTAGTGTCAAACTGAAGACACACATCGGGGTCATACTGAAGAGTCAAAATCACCATCATGGTGACAGAGGCAGAGGTCACAGTGATAAAGCCAAGGATCTGACAACTGTCAGAAACTAGGAGAGAAGAATCCCATCTCCCAGAGATCACAGGGGACAGGGACCCTAACAACACCTTTAACTTGGATTTCTGCCCTCCAGAACTGGGAGAGAAGAAATTTCGAGAAGGGAAGGTGTGTGTGTGTGTGTGTGTGTGTGTGTGTGTGTGTGTGTGCCTACAAAGCTACAAAGGTCAGAAAAGGAGTCTGGGTTCTGTGGAACTGATGTTACAGGCAGTTGTGAGTTGCCTTGTGAACCTAGGAACCGAACCCTGGTCTGCAAGAGCTCTTAATGGCTGAGCCATTTCTCCAGACCCTAATTTCTATTGTATTGGATTTGTGGTTTGTTACAGCAGCCCAGGCAAACTAATACAGCAGGTGCTGTAGTAGCTTTCTCTGAGGCGATGTGGATCAATGTCTATTCACTGCAAACAGGGTACCAACAGACCAAAGTGTTGACCCACCGAGGTTCAGCTCGGTGAACAAATGAGTTTACTGACTTACAGGAGCATGGGTAAGTGGGTACTTGCAGGGATGCAGGTGACCCCAAAGCAGCTGCAAACTCCTAGCCCGTTACGGATGTCAGTCTCAAAGAAGGTGTATCATGGAGTCCCACTTTTAGTTAGCTTTCTAGCTTCCACGTACTGTTAGCATCTTCTCAGATTCCTGTCAGCTGAAGGCTAAGAAGCAAGGTCAGAATCCCAGGTGAAGATTCAGTGGCTCTCCTCCCCCAGTCCATCTTCTACTGGAGTATAGAGTGAATACACACACACACACACACACACACACACACACACCCATTCCCACTACCATTGGGCTGCTCTAGCCAGACCCAGGGACGTCATATATATAAAGAGGATATATATATATATATATATATATATATATATATATATATATATATATATATATATATATATTAGAAAGGCTTACAGATTGTAGTCCAGCCATCCCACAATGGCTGCCTATGAACAGAGGTTCAAGAATCCTGTAGCTGTTTAGTTCATGAGGCTGGATATCTCAGCTGGTCTTCAGTATATGCTGGAATATTTCCCAAAGAAATAGGCTTTAATGTCAGGGAAGAAATGAACTTACTAGCAAGCGTGAAATCAAGCAGGCAGGCAGAGAGTAAAGAGAGTAAGATTCCCTCCTATGTCTTTTTTTTTTTTTTTTTTTTTTTTGAGACAGGGTCTCTCTGTGTAGCACTGGCTGCCCTGGAACTCACTTTTGTAGATCAACTGGCCTTGAACTCACAGAGCTCCGCCTGCCTCTGCCTCCCCAGTGTTGGTATTAAAGGTGTGCACCACTACCCATACCTGGCCTTTTTTTAATAATGTATTTAAATTTATTTTACTTGCGGTGGTGTGAAGATGTCAGATCCCCTGAAACTGGAGCTACAGACAGCTATGAGCTGCCATGTGGATGCTGAGAATCAAACCCAGGTCCCCTGGAGGAGCAGTCAGTGCTCCTAAGCACTGAGTCCTCTCTCCAGTCCCAGCCCCCATCTCCTTTCTATAGGCTTCCAGAAGAAAGTGTGGCCCAGATAAAAGGTGGATCTTCCTACCTCAAATATCTGGACTAAAGGTAGATCATCTCACCTCAAAGATCCAGATGAGAGTGAGAGAGCTAAGTGAGTCTTCATGCTTCAAGGGATTTAAGAAAAAAAATCTTCCACAGGTGTGCCCAGCCATTTGGTTTTTAGTTAATTCTAGACGCAGTCATGTTGACACAGAAGAACAGTCATTACAGCTATGTAGTATTAACAGCTTCCTTATATTGCTAGGTTGGTAGGCTTCTTTAGTTGCCATGGGAACTGGGCCAAAGTTGTCTGTTTCAGTAAGGGTGTCTACTACTGTGATAAAACACCACAACCAAAAGCAACTTGGAAGAAATGGGGTTTGTTTCTGATTACATATCTTAAGCACAGTCTCTCATGAAAGGAAGCCAGGGCAGGTCCTTGAAGGCAGGCACTGAAGCAGAGACCTCAGAAGAGCCAGCTCCTCCTGTCTTGCTCAGCTTGTCTTCTTATATAGCCCAGAAGCACCAGCTCAGGGGTGCCACTTCCCATACTGGGCTGTCCTCCCAAATCAGGCATCAGCCACAGACTTGCCTACAGGCCAATCTAATGGCGGCATTCTCTTAGTTAAGATTCCCTCTTCCCAGGTACATCTATGTGTGGGTCAAGTTGACAATGACTACCCAGCATACTATCCCTGTTCCAATAGTCACAGAATGATCATGTTATTACACCAGAGGAAAACCCTACACACTAAATAGTGCAGTTATCCCAGCTCACTGCAGAGGAACACAGGCCAGGGTCAGTGAGGCACCCAGTGATGGAGACAGTAAGTCAGGGCTAGACCCCAAGGTCTACCATGGTGACTCCAGGTGGAGATCTGGACTTCATCATGTAACAGGCCTGGCAGAAGTGAGGATATCCTAAAGGGACACTGTGCCTCTTAATTTGACTGTGGAAACAATGGAGCCCAAAGAAATGGGAATTTCTCCAGGAACCTCCAGCCAGAGGGGCAACTTGTTACCCAGAAAGAGATTCCACACAGTTTTGTTCTGTTTTGAGACAGGGTTCCTCTGTGCAGCCCCAACTGTACTGGAACTTGCTTTGTAGACCAGGCTGGTCTCGAGCTGACATAGATCTGCCTGCCTCTGCCTCCCGAGTGCTGAGACTAAAGGTGCATGTGCCACCATGCCTGGCAAGATTCCAACTTGTCAGACCACCTTAAGGGTGGGTCAGTGGCAGGCAGGATCACAGTTTGACTGGAAACCCTTGACCCTCTATTTAAATTTCAATCTCCAGGCTGCACGGTAGTGGCTCATGCCTTTAATCCCAGCACTCGGGAGGCAAACGCAGGCAGATCTCTGTGAGTTCGAGGCCAACCTAGTCTATAAGAGCTAGTTCCAGGACAGGTTCCAAAGCTACAGAGAAACCCTGTCTCAAAAATAAATAAATAAATAAATTTCAATCTCAGAACCCTACAGACAAACTTCGGAACGGGGTTGCTGGCTCTCTTTGCCCAGCTTCCCAATGTGACCACATTGAGTACACACTGTTAATTTGACTTTTTAATTTATTTTTTGACATTCGGTGGCTGGGAACGGTTTGGAGCACATGCTGTGACCCCCAGATTTGATAACAATCACACAGGCAGCTGGAGTGACAGAGGATAAATTAAGTGGTTCCATTCTATATAGATTTCTAAGAAGACTGCCTGCCTGGGAAATATCCTATGTTTAAAATGGACTTGGTCAACTTGTAGGCTTGCCTCAAATTCATTCCCCCCGCTCTTTAAAAAAAATATTCATTTCTCCCCAACATAATTATGAAGATGATTTGTTGTGCAACTGTTTGTCGTTGGCCATGGGTTCCTTTGTGTTTACTAATCAGGCCCTGTTTTTAGGCATAATCGGCTAATCTCGGTTAATCCTCACAACTGTCCCACAAAATACACCTGTTGCTCTCTCTGTTACAGGGACATGGAAGCATTCCGGACCTTGAGAGAACTGCATTTAGGGAAAGCCCGGATGGTGCGTAGAGGGTTGAAAGATTTAGGGAAAGCCCGGATGGTGCGTAGAGGGTTGAAAGAAAGGCTACCATTGTATCTTAAAGGCTGTGCGGCATTGGGGGAAAAAAAAAATACTTCCTCGGCGTTAGCCTATCAAACTGACACACTAGCAGCTGCCTTGACGTACCGGATGACTAACAGGATGCAGAGCGCCGCGTTCTGCGCATCCTCACACACTGCGAGCTTCGCAGGTTTCCAAGGCGGTGGTTAGCGGCGTCCTTGCAGGTTTCCATGACCTCCATGGAGGCGTCCCCGTTCTGCCCCGGACCGCCAGGGGCCGCTGTGACAAGGCTCGCTCCCGGCGCTCTAGCCACACCCAGGGAAGTCGGTGTCCTCACCTTTTAGAGCCCGCGCCTCGGTTCCTGCGGACGCTTCCCGTGCTCTCGGCTCTACCACTGTCCACTGCCATCCCGCCGCCCACCATGGCCCTCCTGCACTCTAGCCGTGTCCTCTCCGGGGTGGCTGCCGCCTTTCACCCAGGCCTTGCGGCCGCAGCCTCTGCCAGAGCCAGGTGAGCCGAGGGATACGGAGATGGAGCGGGACCGCGGGCCTGCCCCTGCCCAGCCGAGCTGCGGACGCTGCAGGACCTGCACACGCACGCACCCTCCCTCTCCCGTGTTCCCAAGGGGTCCCTGTCCCGGGGCTGAGGGCTGAGTGTCCGCGCCTCGCGATGACCCTCAGGACCCCTCATCCCTCCCCTGCATCGCTGGACACCGGGCCAGCGCAGTCCCCGAGGACGGGAATTGTGGTTCTCGGCTGCACCCGGACCCCAATTCTACCGGGTGATGGGGGTCCAAGATGCTGAGTCCGCGCAGTGGGGTGCGGGGCGAGGGGTGAGCACGTGGGCGGCGGCACCGGGCCAGCCTCTTCGCGGATTGGCTTTGGTGTCGGAGCTGCCTGTCGCCGATTGGCTGTGGCGCTGGGGGGCGCGCATGCCCTTGACCAGCTGCCCTGCAGGGCAACTGGCCCACCTGTCGGGTTACGGAGGGTTAAATCTGGTAAACCCGGCTGTGCTGCCTCGAAGCTGACCGCTGCTTGTGTATCCGAGGGAGATGTGATCTCATGGAGCGAGTTCTCGGGGTGCCGAGACCCCGCGTTTCTCCCAGCATCCGTGACCTTGGTGTGGCGCATCCTTTCCGCGCTGTCACCATACCCCTCCCCAGTCGGGCATATCTGGGTTTTGGATGGGAAAGAGTTGAGGTGTAGTGTAATGCACTTTCTTTGTCTTAAACCCTTGGGAGATTCGGCTGGCTGGAAGCCATCGGTCTTTCTCTCCATCTCAGTCAGCCCTTAAATATTTCGTAACCCGGTTTCTCAGAGCCAGGCAATGGACCAGTTGCTGGTGATGTAGTTGTGAGTAAGACAGAGAGGAGTGACTTCGCAAAAAAAAAAAAAAAAAGAAGAAAAAAGAAAGAAAAAGGAAAAAGACATGTGTCGTCTTGAACTGAGATGTCCTAAGAGAAAGTTCAGGGCCTAAATGGAGCTAGTAACTTCTAATTCTTCCCTGAACCGGGAGAACTGTTTCACTAAAGAAAGCAGATTTGACGCAGTCTTCCTGAGTGCTGCAGAAACCTCCCTGGAGTGCATACTAACTCACTAACTAGGAACAGAGCCTACTTAACCTTTTATGCTTGCCTTGGCCTTCCTTTGAATGTGTTCGGGTAGTCTTCAAGCCAGCAGAACAGACTGTCCCGGCCAGAGCCCGTTTTTGGCGCATTGCCAGCGTGTGTCCGTTTAAGCCTAGCCACCTAGGAAGAGAATTAGGTAGAAGTTATTTTTGCTGCAAATTTGGAGAACAAAAAGGAGTGCTTCTGTGGACAGGAAAAAGTCTGCTTTCCTGTTTTCTTAGCCTTAAAATATCCCTTGTTGTATGTATATAACTGAAAGGCCTAAGCTTTACCTAAACTGGAGGAGGTTCCCTTCGGGTGTGACTGGCTAGTGATTCTTTGGGTGTGACTAGTGTTCCTTTTCCTTCTTTTCCCAGTTAGAATTTAAGGTGCGGGTGAGCAGAGACCTTGGCAACTTTGTTCAGAGTTGTACCTTAGCACTTAGGTCAGTGTCTGAAGTGGTTTTTGTTTGTTTTTGTCATTTGAGGTGGAGTTACTATGTAGCCCTGGCAAGCCTGAAACTTACTGTGTACACCAGGCTGGCCCAGAGCATGCTGCAATGACCCTGCCTGTACCTGCCTGACCCTGCCTGTGTCTGAGTGTTAGCACGTCCAGCTTCCTCCTTCTTTCTCCCTCTGGGGATAGAACCCAGGGCCTCCGGGTGTAGTAGGCAAGCACAGAGATGTTTGCCTGGCCTAGGGAATGCCTTTCACTTTGCATGTTTTTATTCCAAGCCCTTATTTTTAAACAAATGCAGCGTTTTTAATGTTTTATATTTTTAGGTCAAAATCTACACATAAAAGGAACCATAGTGGTGCAAAATATGTACCAAAACCAAAGCATTAGTGGGCTAAGGCAGGGAAAGTGCCCTGAATTCAAGGTCATTTCTCCTGGTCTCTACACACACACACACACACACACACACACACACACAGTTCCAGGCCAACTTGCTATAGTGTGAGGCTTTAGATAAATATAACTGAGGGAAAACTTTTCAAAAGCTATTTAAGCCTTGGATAACTCAAAGCTTTTGAGCTGGAAATAATTTTGAAATTATACAGATAATGCTTATCTGAATACTTTGTACCTAGCATCTTTTGGTTGGGTGGTCACTGTTGCTCAATGTTTGTGGCCCTGCGCCTGTGTCCAAAGGGCATCGGTAGGAATCATATTGTAGGCCATAGGTTATCAGTTTACCCCCAGAGCGCTCTTATTTTCATCTAAGGCCATTAATTTACAAACATAAGAACTCTCGCGTGTCTGTAATCGTCACAGTTTTAAGGCGTGGGATAATGAGGGACATAGAGAACCTGGAATTTGATCACTCATAGCTAATCAAAGGATTACTGCTCCTATGCTTAGAATACTTAAAATTCACTGTTTTGAAATTGTTTGGAGCATTCTTTTTAAGAGGTATGCTAGAATATTCACGGCTGAGGCTTCTAGAGAATGTGTAGGCTGCATATTTTATGTGAATGTTGTTCATACTTTTGAACAAGAATGATAACATCTGTACTTGTGATTAGGGGCAACTCTACCATTGTTTAAGGACCTTTTTTAAAAATGGAAGTTGCTTTCTGGACATTTGAATGTCCTTGACATTCAAAGTTCATTTCACTCGGCAGCTAAGGACAGTGACATCGATAGGCAGGTGGCCGCATGGCTTCTGTCTGGGCTGGAGAAGAGAAACAACCAAAACCTATTTGAGTTGTCTCAAGGCTTGTATTTCTTCCTCACAGCTTACAGCCACGGTGCAGAAGAGGAAAGGGAAGAATGTTTTTATTCCTGGCCTAGAGCTGAGGGTGGGAAAGGGTGATGATGTCCCCTGAGAGTGTAAAATGATAACAATCATTTTAAAACCAGAAAGACATGCATTCATTCATAAATTCCCATGACCATATGCTGTCTGAATTCACTACATGTTGGTCTTACAGGGCTCCGTACTAGTGGCTGGGTGGTGACAGATGACAACTAATGAAGTACAAACTAATACCAGTTAACATCCAAGTGTGTTTCCGTTCTCACAGCAACCCTGTGAGATAGATCTGGTTGCACCCATTTAACAGATGAGGGCTCACGAGATTTGGAGTCACTTCTCTTGCCTCTACTCTCATGTTCTTACGTGGTAAGCTGGTTGAGTCCCTGCAGTTTACCCAAGGCAGGCTATTTTAAGAGACCTTTGAAAAGTCAGACCCTGGGAAATGCTAGACCAGAAAGCTCTGCTCTTTAATGACAGAATTAGCAGCCCACCAGCTGTGAAGGCTGAGGCCCTCCTGTTGGGAGCCCCACCCGGCTGTGGAGCCTACCAACCAGCAGTACTCGTGGAGAGTGAGGCTGGCTGGTGAGTGCCAACCGACTGCAGGCTCAGGCCAGGAAGGCAATCCTCATGAATAATTCATAGTGCCCACTTGGCAGAGGCCAACCTCCAGTTTCTACCCATCTCCCACACGGCCCACCTTATCCTTAAGCCTGTGCCACATGCGCTTTTCCCGCTGCCCCTCTCACCCTTGGCCCTCAGCCCACAGGTGGTCCCTTCCTCCCGGGAGCCTCCTTAACCCTCACTTCCCTTCAAGGCCTTTGTCAACTTTTTCTGGGTTTCCCCAAAACTACGCAGTTCCCTGGACCTAAATCATCACCGCGAATCACAGCCAGGCTGCACTGTTGGTCACCCCACAGCCACTCTGCTGGGAGGGGATTGATGTTTTACTCTTTACAGTCCCTGCTCCTAGCACACCAGCACACGGCAAGTTTATAATCATCAATTTAGGACACCTTAAAGCAGTGGTTCTCAACCTATGGGTCAAGACCCCTTTGGGAGTCACACAGCAGATATTTGTACTGCTCACAACAGTAGCAAAATTACAGTTATGAAGTAGCAATGAAATAATTTTATGATTAGGGGTCACCTCAACATGAGGGACGGTATTAAAGGGTCACAGCATTAGGAAGGTTGAGAACCATGCCTTAAAGACTTTGTTACATACTTCGCTCTGAAACCTGTCAGCCAGGGGCATAAGGAATGCCCCCTACCTTACCTCTGGCTGTTGTGAAGACGGAGTGAGTTCACCTCTCCAGTTACCTGGGCCCACGTTACCACTTCCGAAAAATGTACAGAGAGTCACTGGAGATGAAAACTGCACTGTCGTAAGAGGTTGTAAAACCAAAAAGAAGGACGGAAAGAGAGATGGAAACAAGATTCACCATCTGAATTTGTCCTGTTTCGTTTTATCCAGATATCACCCAGGTGCAGGGGTTACAAGCATGCACACCTGGATGATCAAAACTTCTCATAGCAATAGTGGGTATTACTTATGGAAACGTACGTGGTCTCTTCTCTTTCTTTCTTTTTTTTTTTTTTTTTTTTTTTGTCTTTTGGTTTTTCGAGAAAGGGTTTCTCTGTAACAGCCCTGGCTGTCCTGGAACTTGTTCTGTAGACCAGGCTGGCCTTGAACTCACAGAGAAATGCCTGCCTCTGCTTCTGCTGGGATTAAAGATGTGAGCCACCAGTGTCGACTGTACGTGGTTTCTACAGTTTCTGTTTTCAAATGATTACTAGCTTACAAGTTTCAGTTTTACTTTCCAGTGCAGTAAATATTAATAGTTCCATCCCACATAAACAAGAGCTCTGTGAGGAGCTTCCGCTCGCCAGTCAACTCGCCTACACACAGCAAGCTCAGGATCTGTGTTTACAGCCAGCCACAGTAATCACAGCACTCAGAATAGTGGGCAGGTGGCCTAGCAGTTCCAGGCCACCCAGAGCTACATAGTGAATACATCAGGGCCAGGGGCATGTACTGAGCTAGATTCACCAGAAGCATCTAAGTCATCAAAAACAAGGACACTAAAACTGTCACAGCCAAGAGAAGCCTAAGGAGATAGACAATGGAGCATGATGTGGTGTTACAGTGAACAGAAACAAGCAAAAACCAAACAAGAAAAATAAACAGGTGCCTCTCGGGCTCTGTAACTGTATTCCTATGCTGGCAGTTGGGGGCAGGGTGGGTGGGAACAATTGCTCTAAGTCTAAACGTAAAAAGTAAAATCTAGACTGGGGTATGACTCAGCAGTAGAACCCTTCACTAGCAGATAATCAAAAAGTAGAGTATATTTGAGCTAGGAATAAATAATTACTATTGGAATTAAAGTTTTCCCAAGTGATAATTTATTCCATTTAATATAAATCTGATTTTTACTAATTTTGATCATTGTTTTTCTTTTAATTTCTTGAGAATTTCATACATGAGTGAACTGGATTTACATTACTTCCAACCCTCCCTCCCCCCACTTCAATTCTCCCCGTGTTCCACCCCATTGTTTCTCTTAAATGAACCTAGAAACATTTTAGGAATTTGAGTTCGTGTAACTAAGTCTTTGGTAAGTGACAGTAATTTAATTTTTATTCAAAGCAGCTATGCTTTCACTTGTGTTAAGTATCCATCTAATACAGCATTTGTTTTTCCTAAACAAACTGGTTGAGGATGAAACGAGCTGAAAAACAGAATTTAAAATAGCACATTCAAAGTAGTAGCAGTGTGGCTTCTCATTTGCCTGGAAATATGAATCGATTGCTGTACATGCTGAGAAGTATAACAAACGTCTGTTATTTGAGGATTTTGTAATCTAGTACATCAGTGCTGTCCAGAGGTGGAACACGTGTCAGTCAGGTCCCCGGTCTTTCCACATTATTGACATGTGGTGCGGTGTGTTTGTTTTAGGCTGCAGAAATCCTAGTATAAGCTCCAAATTGACAGAAACACCCGAACAGAAGATTTCAAACAAACCAAGGAGCTGGGCATGTTGCTCAATTGGTAGAGTGCTTACCTGCCAAGCACAAAACCCCGGGACTACACAAGCCAGACGTAGTGTGCACTTGTTCTGTCTCTATCTCTGTGTTTGTGTGTGCACACACGCGTGCACACATGAGAGAGATTGTCAACTCTTACCTAATAAAGTAGACTTCTGCCATCCTCCTATAGAACTCTGTAGAATACTTTGCACGTAAGACCAACTCAGTCATTGATTGTGGCCACTAGCCTATTAGTCACATGTGAACTAAACAAAATCCAAAGAGGATATATAAGAAAGCTCCGAAGTGGGTATTGAATGTTCTGTTGCATCTTGTGATTTACCAAGAAACAAGGAAAAATGAGGGACACTGCCCCCTAGCAGTCTGGTCACCCGGCTCCAGTGACTCCAGCAGGAATCAGTGGATGACTGTTGAAGTCGGGTAAGGAAATCCTTGCTGTGCAAGCCCGAGGATCTGAGTTCAGATCACTAGCACCCGTGTAAAAGCCAGGTACAGTGGTGGATGTCTGTAACCTTTGGGTGTGTGCAGAGACAGGTAAGAACCTGGGGTTCACTAGTCAGCCCATCCAAAATGGCAAGTTCAGCTCTGATTTAAAAAACAAAAAAACTAGCCAGGCAGTGGTGGTACAAACCTTTAATCCCAGCACTCGGGAGGCAGAGGCAGGCGGATCTCTGTGAGTTCTAGGCCAGCCTGGTCTACAGATTGAGTTCTAAGACAGTTAGGGCTGTTACATACAGAAACTAAGAGAAGAAGATAGAGAGAGACAGACAGACCAAGACCCTGTTTCCAAAATACGGTGGAGTCAGGCTGAAGAGACAGCCCAGTGTTGGTCCAGTGTTAAGAGGACGCGCTGTGCAATCATTAGGAGAGGAATTCTGATCCCAGCACTGACCTAGCTGGCCGTCCTGCACACACCTGTAGCCCAGTTCTCAGGAGGGTGCAGATTGAAGGATTGTTGGAGCTTGCTGGCTTCAAGCCTAATGAAGAAAACATAAGCCACTTAGGTGTGGGCATAAGGATAAATGTTGAGAACGCAGTTAACAATTCTACTGATTTAGGAAAGTAACAGTAATAGGTTCTCGTAGGGTCACAGATAGTTGGCTGGATTTCTACCAGGCATGAATTCCCTCCTTTGAGGGGACCTGCAGTCCAAGTGGACAGCTAGTGATTACCCCAACACACAGTGGCAGTATTACATTCTTGGAGCTACCGTGCCATGGTGGTCATTGTAGTTTGTGAGTTTTACAACTGGGCAGTACTGCTAGAGGATTGCTCTTCTCCCTTGGCAACTTGCATGGCATTTTAGGATACTGCGAGAGCTAGTGCCCAGGAGGAGGCTTCTAGCTCAGTTCTCTAAGCCTTATGCCTGATGTGGTGTTCTCAGCAATAGGGCCTTCCCTCTGATTTCTGGGAAGCAACCAAGAACAACAGCAATAGCCGTATCACTTTGGGAGTCTTAGACTCTCTTGACCAACAGCCTGAAAGGAGTTTTCTCATGCCTGGCACTGGATCTTTTGTTAGTCTAATGCTCCTGGGGAACATTGTCATCCAAGTGGCATAATTTTATATCCCCTCCCCCCCCCGCCGTGTGTATAAAAGTGTAAAAATGTTCAAACATTCTTAGTGTTATTTATTCCTCTTCCCTCTCTGCTTCCCAGTTAAATCCCCATTTTTTCCTATTTCTCCCTTCATAGCACCTGTGTCCCATCCCCCCTTTAGAGTATCTTCTCTCCTTTGCCCACGTGGTCCCTTTTGTCTTCCCTGATTTCCGTGGTGACTCCAGGTTACATACTTACATGTAAAACTTCCGAGCTAGGAATCACAGATGAGAGAACATGCGACATTTGTCTCTGAGTCTGGGTTACCCTGCTTATAATATTTCCTAGTTCTACTTCTTTACCTGCAGTTTCATGATTTCATTACTCATTAATCATTTGAAGCAAACTTTTTTTTTGTTTGCTTGTTTGTTTGTTTGTTTTTTCGAGACAGGATTTCTCTGTAGCTTTGGTGCCTGTCCCGGAACTAGTTCTTGTAGACCAGGCTGGTCTGGAACTCACAGAGATCTGCCTGCCTCTGCCTCCCAAGTGCTGGGATTAAAGGCGTGTACCACCACTGCCCGGCTAAGAAAAAAAATTTTTTTTAAACTTGTGTACGTACCCTATCCTACCCAAATTAACCTGGGTGCTCCCTTTCTGCACCTTGTCGTATCTGTGTTGAAGATGCTGATCTCCAGTCTCTGAAGGCTTTTGTACAGTTGAATAGCTGCTCCCTGTTTCTGTAACCTCTGTGTAACACATGCCAAAATGGATCTTTGGGAAATTGGAAACATATCTGGCCATAGGAATCTAGTTCATGTGGTTGACATAAAATATTTCTCATTTCAGCTCCTGGTGGACCCATGTAGAAATGGGACCCCCAGATCCCATCCTGGGAGTTACTGAAGCCTTCAAGAGAGATACCAACAGCAAAAAGATGAACCTGGGAGTTGGTGCCTACCGGGATGATAACGGGAAGCCTTACGTGCTCCCCAGTGTCCGGAAGGTGAGCGTGGCACCTGTCCTGTTGGTGCAGGGTGTGGAACCTGAAGGGAGCCGAAAGGAACAAAAGGAATACTGGCCCAGGCCCTAGGGCCCCAGGTTCTGCTTCTGGCACTACTTTGTGAACCACCCGGGTTCCTAGGCTGTGACCTTTCTCAGCTGTGACTGCATCACAGCCACACGCTCTCCTCCAAGGTTGAAAACCAGGCATTGTGCCTAATCCTGAGCATGAGTACCAGAGGGTTAGACGGTTAACATCGTCTCTTAAGAGAGGAAGGGCCTTTTCTCCCATCTTGATGGCTGTGGTGAAATCCATGTGTAGAGAGAGCCATGAGCTGCCCAACCTTCCTGACTAACTACACGATATCTTCCGTTCTCTACTTTGGTTACATTTTTATTAGTGATATTTCCATTAGTTTTAAAGTTAGTCACAGCCGGCTATGCTAGAAGTTATAGTGTTTCCTGGCATGCAGAGGGTTCTGTTTCATGCCCAGCATCACAAGAAAAATCCTAAGACTGTATTCAGTGACTGATGAGCTGTTGTTGGAGCTGGACCACAGCTGAGCATTGCTGTCCAGTATCTCATCAGTGCCTCACCACAACCCCATGACTTGGGCCGGGTGGCTCTTGCCCACAGTCACGCAGACAGTGGAAGTTCTTGGACTGGCATGCATCCTGAAATGCATTCCTTTTATACATTCCGTTTGGTTTTGTCATCTCACATATACCTATCATGTTGCTCATCAGTTCTATTCTCATGCATTTCAAGAGAGCCCTACATGTTAAGTGGTAACCAAGGAAGATTCTATACCCGTTTTAGAATTTCTGTTACTGTGAAGAGACACCATAATCACAACTTTTTTTTTTTTTTTTTTTGTGGCAGGGTTTCTCTGTGAAACAGCCCTGGGTGTTCTGGAACTCGCTTTGTAGACCAGGCTGGCCTCGAACTCACAGAGATCCGCCTGCCTCTGCCTCCCAAGTGCTGGGATTAAAGGTGTGCGTCACCACTGCCCGGCTAGAATTTTATTTCTTAAGATAAAGACATAAAATAAACTGTATTTCTGTTCTGTGATACAAAGTACCAAATATTTCACTTTTATCCAACTAAAACTTATTTTCTCGTCTCTAGGCAGAGGCCCAGATTGCTGCAAAAAATTTGGACAAGGAATACCTGCCCATCGGGGGACTGGCAGAATTCTGTAAGGCTTCTGCAGAGCTGGCCCTGGGTGAGAACAACGAAGTGCTGAAAAGTGGCCGGGTAAGCCAGGCGGCCTGGGCGTTATACAGGCTGTGTTCACACCTAGCCATTTTAGAAACCCGGACATGTTAACTCAGCTTGTATGTGTGTAGTGACTGAGGTGGCCACTCTTCACTAATAATTACTTTCTAAACTTCCTGTCAGTTATCTTGAAAATTTGGCAGAATTTGACTGATAACTTTGGCCCGGTTTGCTGTTGTTTCCGATGAGTTTCATCTGCTTGTATTGAATATGGATAAGAATGCCTCTCTCTGCCTAGTTTCAGGCCCATAATTATTCCCCACAATCATGTGTTAAGCTTCTAGCTCGGACAGAAGCAACCATGAACCAGCCTTGAGTAGGCTGTGGGGGCAGGGCAGAGGTTAGGTGTGGCTGTCTGTCCCCTTCTGCCCTGTCACAGCCCAAGTGGGCATGGACAGACAGAAGACCATGATCCTAAAAGGTGCGCCATAGAAAATAAAAACAAAATAAATTATACTAACACTATCCTAATATACTTTTTGACTGTCCAATTGTTTAAAGAACCTTGGTCTTTACATATTTCTTAACCGCTGAGTCATCTCTCCAGCCCCTGGATTTTACATATTTCTAAAATGATGTTTGAACATACTATTTTTGTCTTTATATTTTGTATGTGTATAAATCCCTCCCTTTGCACATTGAGGAAGAATTTTTTTTTTTTTCGAGACAGGGTTTCTCTGTGGCTTTGGAGCCTGTCCTGGAACTAGCTCTGTAGACCAGGCTGGTCTCGAACTCACAGAGATCCGCCTGCCTCTGCCTGCCGAGTGCTGGGATTAAAGGCGTGCACCACCATCGCCCGGCTTGAGGAGGAATTTTTTATATCCCCAAATTTTCAGTGTAACATGGATGGTTCTAACAAAGTCATCCAGAATTCACTTCTAGAGGCCAGCAAGGTGCCCTAGCAAATGAAATGCTTGCTGCACAGGCCTGGTGACTTAAGTTCCATCTCCAGAGAGTTGTCTTCTGTGGTGTACATACCTGCCACGGCAGGTGCACATTCCCGCTCCCATCCACACACAGTGCGATAACTAGAGGGGGCCGGAGAGATGGCCCAGTGGTCGAGAGCACTTGTTGCTCTTTCTAGAGAGCCTGAGTTTGATTCCTAGCACTCATGTGTCAGCTCACAAGCATGTGTCACTCCAGATCCTAAGTTCCAGGGGATCTGACACCTCCCGACTTCCTGGGGCACCAGGCATTGGCATGGTGCACATACAGACACGCAGACAAGATAGTCATATGGAAAGTAAACAAGTATCTCTGTAAAAATAACCATGTAAACAGCTAAAAGAGTTAAGTTCTGACGTGCAAAGGGTAGCGCAAGCGACTGACTCTGCATCTCCCCTGCAGTTTGTCACCGTGCAGACCATTTCCGGGACTGGAGCCTTAAGGATCGGAGCCAGTTTTCTGGTGAGTGGAACCCCTTTAAGAGAGAGCATTGAGTTAAAGGTTGCCATACTATCCTGTGTGTGTGCTCACCCACCGTCAGGCTTCTCTTTCCACAGAACTGGCAGGTTTCCTGGTCTCTGGTGAAAGAAAGGAAAGTACTGTGGAGAAGTTATAAGGAATAAAGTAATAATGAGTCAGCATATTGAGCATATAGTGGGGGGCTGTTTTGTTTTGTTTGTGTGATTCTTTTTGAAACAGGGTCTTACTATGTATCTGTGGCTGTCCTGGAGGTCCGTAGACTAGGCTGGCTTCAAACTCACAGGGATCTGCCTGCCTCTGCCTCCTGGAGTTCTGGGATTAAAAACATGAGCCACTACGCCCAGCACAGCGCATAGCATTAGTAGGGATGGTGTGTTTCAACTTACTCAGTCCCTGTCTTAATTAAGGTTTCTGTTGCAGCCGAAACACCAAGACTAGAAAGCTGGTTAGGGAGGAAAGGGTTTATCTGCCTCACACTCCTATATTGCTGATCATTTTTGAAGACAGTCGGGACAGGAACTCAGACAGGGCAGGAACCTGGAGACAGGAGCTGTTGCGGAGGCCACGGAGGAGTGCTGCTTGCTGAGTTGCTTCCCATGGCTTCCTCAGCCTGCTCTCTTACGGCAAAGGATGGTACCACAGTAGTTTGGGTCCTCTCCCATCAATCACTAAGAAAATGCCTTACAGCTGCATCTTACAGAGGCCTCCTCTCTTTCAGACGACTCCAGCTTGTGTGTCAAGTTGACATAAAATTACCCAACAAGCCCCTGTAAAGGAGGTTCAGGCAGTGAGGCCTGCACAGGTGTCTCGCCTCATAGCCAGAATAACATCAGGGCCTGACTCCCAGCCCAGACCATCTTGCTACTGTCAGTAGGAAGAAACTCTCTCAGGGAAACACTACCATTTTGTCCTCTTCATTCCCTCTCGTCCCATCTTTCAGCAACGGTTTTTTAAGTTCAGCCGAGATGTCTATCTGCCCAAACCGTCCTGGGGAAATCACACGCCCATCTTCAGGGATGCCGGCATGCAGCTACAAGGTTATCGATACTATGACCCCAAGACTTGCGGATTTGACTTCAAGGGAGCCATAGAAGACATTTCAGTAAGTGCGTCTCCCAACTGGTTTCATTATCTGACTTAGAGGGGGCCCGCTGACTCCCATACCTCGAGTTCCCTGTCACGTCTTAGCTAACAGTGTCCTGTATAGCATGTCGGCTGTTTCCTTTAAAGCTACACAGCAGAATCTTGATTGTTTCTCCGTAGAAAATCCCAGAGCAGAGTGTGCTCCTACTTCATGCCTGCGCTCACAACCCCACGGGCGTGGATCCGCGTCCGGAGCAGTGGAAGGAAATCGCCACAGTAGTGAAGGTGAGAGGGATGGAATGTCAGCAACTCATTGCTTAACCTCGAGCCTGCCCCAAACCCACACAGGAAGGGGTTCCTCTTTTGTTCCGTAATAGATGATACATGAACAGCTTGAAAATTGTCATCCTTCAGCCCAGATGTACTGAGTTCTGACAAAACTAAAAAAGTTGTCTTTGTCACAGCGGCTGTTCTGGCCCAAGAGGCATGCTGGTGGCACCTCCTTTTCTTACGACTTTGCTCAGCATCGCCTCTTCTTTCAGAGGAGCTGGCTGTGACAGAAGACACTCATCCGAATTCCTAGAGAGGAAAATATCCCCGTCATCCTGTGCCCCTATTCTTACCACTTCTGTCAAATCTCAGCATCCAATAGAATGAGGCCCAGAAGAAGCCGTTAGAGAGCACTTCATAGAAAAGTCCTGCTAGTCCTGCCCAAACCAGAGATCAAGGTTCTCTTTCCACAATGTTAAGGAACCATAGCTATCAAAGTATTTTGTTTTTTGTTTTTTTAAATAATACTTTATGTTGATAGTTAACTCTGGCATTCAGACGTCTTCCCTACTTCCATGTGTGAAGAAACTGTTGACTGTAGATAAACACGGTCCATGACAGCACGGGTAATTGCGGGGCATCTGCAGGTGCCTATCTCAAACTCTTCTTCCTTCCAGAAAAAGAATCTCTTTGCGTTCTTTGATATGGCCTACCAAGGCTTTGCAAGTGGTGATGGAGATAAGGATGCCTGGGCCGTGCGCCACTTCATCGAGCAAGGCATTAATGTTTGCCTCTGCCAGTCCTATGCCAAGAACATGGGTCTCTATGGTAAGCTAGAGGAGCCAGTGTAAGATGTACTCAGATGAACTCAGAGGAGCTTGGAGAGAATGCCACAAAGCAGAAAATTTAGAGGGGCAAAGTAGTCCCTAGATAGGTGTGTGTGTATGTGTGCACATTGTGTGTTGGTTATATGTAGTCTTCCTAAGACAGAAAAATATTGTAGATATTCTTAGCCATATCTTCAGTGTCTTTAAATTTTTGTAGCAAAAATGAGGGGCTGGGGCTGGGCGGTGTGATGCATGCCTTTAATCCCAGCACTTGGGAGTCATAGGCAGGCGGATCTCTGTGAGTTTGAGGCCAGCCTGGTTTATAGAGCAAGTTCCAGGACAGCCAGGGCTACACAGAGAAACCCTTCCACCAAAAAAAAAAAAAGAGAGAGAGAGAGATCCTGGATCCTGAATACTTGTTTGGACCTCAATTCACAGTTCACCGTTCTGAGTAGTAAAGACTTTCTGTTAAGGAACTATTAGGCCAGATGTAGCTCTTTCCTATAATCCCATCACTAGAGGCTGAGACAGGAGAATCACCTGTCACCAAGCCTGGGGTACAGAGTGATACTCTTGTCTCAAACAGAAATTACTGTTATATGGGCTGGAGAGATGGCTCAGTGGTTAAGAGCATTGCCTGCTCTTCCAAAGGTCCTGAGTTCAGTTCCCAGCAACCACATGGTGGCTCACAACCACCAGTAAAGAGGTCTAGCGCCCTCTTCTGGCCTTCAGGCATACAGACAGAATATTGCATACATAATAAATAAAAAAAAAAAAAAAAAAGAAATTACTGTTATGGTTCCTCTGAGAGAAAAGATACCTTGTAGCAGAGTTCCTCACGGCTTGTTTTAGCGTGCTAGAAGCCTATCCACTGTTTTCTCAGGTGAGCGTGTGGGAGCCTTCACTGTGATCTGCAAAGACGCTAATGAGGCCAAAAGGGTGGAGTCCCAGCTGAAGATCCTGATCCGTCCCATGTATTCCAACCCACCACTCAATGGTGCCCGGATCGCAGCAACCATCCTGACCTCTCCAGACTTGAGAAAGCAATGGTAATGATTGCTTGCTGTTCTACGCCATCCAGTGCCTTACAGTTCCAGGTGTGGGAAGGAAGAAGGGGGTGTGATTTTTGTTGGCACAGCTACATTTGGTATTTCCCCATAAACCCAGAAACAAACAGCAGCCTCTTTTATCCTCTAATCTCGGCTTTTATTTTTTTTATTTATTTTTTATTTATTTATTTTTTTTTCGAGACAGGGTTTCTCCGTAGCTTTTTGGTTCCTGTCCTGGAACTAGCTCTTGTAGACCAGGCTGGCCTCGAACTCACAGAGATCCGCCTGCCTCTGCCTCCCGAGTGCTGGGATTAAAGGCGTGCGCCACCACCGCCCAGCCTAATCTCTGCTTTTAGTAAAACCTGCCTTCCCTTAAAATCGAGTTCAGTTGAAGTTCCTGGTATAGGAGACTTCCTCCCAAAGATGCCTTTGTTTTGCGGTGCTGGAGATCAGACCTAGGGTTTCATGCGTGTAGGCAAGCACTCCGCTGTACTATGTCCCTAGCCCCTGTGGTCTTCTCACTGGCTAACACTGAATCTGTGCTTCTGCATACTTACGGCTTTTATTATATTTAATCTCAGTACCTATCCTCTAATGTTAATCTTCTTAAAAAAAATTTTATTTTGGACTAGAGAGAGAACTTAACTGCTCTTACAGAGGACCTAGGTTCTAATCCCAGCACCCATGTAGTAATTCAAAACCATTCATAACTCCAGCCCCAGGAAAGACCAACCTTGGCTACAAATTGAATTTGAGGCTATCCTGGACTTCATAAAACCCTGCCTCAGCCGGGCGGTGGTGGCGCATGCCTTTAATCCCAGCACTCAAGAGGCAGAGGCAGGCGGATCTCTGGGAGTTCGAGGCCAGCCTGGTCTACAAGAGCTAGTTCCAGGACTGGCACCAAAAGCTACGGAGAAACCCTGTCTCGAAAAAAAAAAAAAAAAAAAAAAAAGAACCCTGCCTCAAAAGCAAAAAGACAAAGTCATGTTCAGGGAGCTAGAGAAAATGGCCTGCCGGGGATGATGTTGGTTGATATCATGAGTTTGATGTCATGAGAAGTCAGAACCTGATTCTCTGGCAAGAGGAGGGAGGATGTGGGGCTGGAGAGATGGCTCAAGGGTTAAGAGCAACTGTTCTTTCAGTGGTCCTGTGTTCAATAGAGGTGTTATTGTCATGGTCCAGTTGGTAAGAACCAACAAAAGAAATTCCCTGCAGGTCATGGGAGTGGACTGGCCCTGACAGTTCTAAGGAGAGACTGTTGGAATTAAGCAAGCTGGGCTGACTGTCTGCACACAGGCCTGTCCCCTCTGGTCCCCAGACAGAATAGCCCTCTCTCCTCCGTGGCCCTTCTTTCACCCAGCACTGTTCTGCCTTGTGCTACCATTGACTTTTTACACGCTTGGCCTTGAACCTCTTAGGGGCTATGACCACATCCCACTCCTCAGCTCCTTCTATATGGCTTAGACCACGTAGGCTTATAGTTTGTCCTCTTCATTATGAAGGCAGAAGCATTTGTTCCAAGTTTAAAATAACTTTCCTCACTACTCAGACATGTTAACTTATCTGGGGCTGTAGAGGTGGTGTAGTTATCAAGAGCGTTGACTGCCATGCCAGAGGACCTGGGTTCAATTTCCAGCATCTGCGTGGTGGCTCACAACCCCCTGTAACTCTTGCTCCAGGAGATCCCACACTCTCTTCTGGCCTCCAGTAGCACCAAGCACACATGTATGTGCACTGCAGGCAAAATACCCTTATACATACCTTTTTTAAAGTTGCCAAAGTACATATAATAAAAAGCAGAACACTTAAAATCTTTGTCCACCAGCCATTGACCGTGTGACTCGGTTAAGGACTGGGGATTAAGGCGTTCAGGAGGAGAGAGGAACTCAGGTGAAGCTCCACCAGAGCAAGACGCCCATCTGGTTCCTTACAGGTTGCAGGAAGTGAAAGGCATGGCCGACCGCATCATCAGCATGAGGACCCAGTTGGTCTCCAACCTGAAGAAGGAGGGGTCCTCCCACAACTGGCAGCACATCACCGACCAGATTGGCATGTTTTGTTTCACGGGCCTGAAGCCCGAGCAGGTGAGTGGACGGTAGACCTGGCCTTTAGGTCCAGGTGGCATGTGGGGGTCCTGGATTTGGTGGCGGTGGTGCCATGTTGTGAGATGAGGGCCCGTTGGTGTTGTCCAGGCTGGCCACTCAGGCTCTAGCAGCCACACCTCACCTGGGCCTGCAGTCATGGTCACTGCTTAGTTAGGGGTGTGTGCCACCTCCTCCGGCCTGGTTCTCTCTGTTACTGTTTGTCTGTATCCCCCGTGATACATACCTTGTGGGGAGGGGGTTGTTTGTTGTTTTTCCAGTTTGTTATGGGGGGTTGTTTTGTTGATGTTTGTGGTGGCGAGGGATCAGACCCAGGGCTTTGCCCGTGGCGTGCATGTCATAGCTTGTGTGCGTTTATCTGACAGACAGCGCCTCAGAAAGAAGAGGAGAAATGGCTGCTACATAGCTGAATCCTGAGCCTGCTTAGTTTGGGATTTTTTTTTTCCCTACCTGTTTATGCCTTGGAAACCATAATCTTAATTTTTAACATTTTTCTAGTCTGTATGCATGCACATTCTGTGGCATGTGTGTAGGTCAGAGCACAGCCTTCAGGGGTCGGTTCTCTCCTTCTACCACATAAGTCCTGAGGATGAACTCGCGTCAACAGGCTTGGTAGCAGGCAGCTTTCCCTGCTCAGCCGTCTTAGGGACCGTATTACCCTTCTTTAAAATAGCTTTTCATTCTTCTTTTACTTATCTAAACCAAATTCTCGTGTCAGTGAGAAAATTAAGATTTTATTATTTTTTAACCCGTTGGCTACTGTGTGCCCTGTTGGCTGGAAAAGATTTCCCCACTGGGACTCGTCGTCAGCTTCTTCTCTCTCTACAGGTGGAGCGGCTGACCAAGGAGTTCTCGGTCTACATGACAAAAGATGGTCGCATCTCCGTGGCAGGGGTCACCTCTGGCAACGTGGGCTACCTTGCCCATGCCATTCACCAGGTCACCAAGTAATTACCAGGGTGCAAAGGGACAGAGACCACCTTCCCATCAGCCTTTGTTCTCATGAGAGTCACGTGCGCAGGAGAAGGGGGGTGGATGGTGGTGAGTAGATCATGTTTCCAACCACAGTGCATAAGGCTCAGCGATTGAATGTGTTCCTCGGAAAAGAGGCAGGGCAGAGGCTTCCACGGCTGGTGTCTGGAACTTTGTTGGCTCCAAACCAAACTCTCCTTCATCCTTCTGTCTCCAACTTGTCTGAAAGAGTTTACACATGCAAGAAAATCATGTCAGCACCAAAAACCTGTCAGCCACGGCGTTGGAATAGAAGCTTTACTGAAGCATCCGGTGGTGTCGGGGGCTCACCTCTGGACCCAGCTGAGACCGCTCACATTAGGGGTTGTGAGGAGAAAACCTAGTTCCGTCGTTAACCGTTGTCCTTGTGTTTGTCCTCCCAGAATGAGCAACTGTGTCAGCAGCTCACATTACAGGAATTCTGCTTTACAGAAACCAAGTCTGCTGCCCCTGCAGTGAGGGCAGTAAAAGATGCTGTCTGTCAGCCTGTCTCCCTCTTGTCATTGCTGTCTGTAGCCTACAGCTTCATCCCGGGCTGCTGGATTGACCATTAGCTTTATCCTGTCAGGATCTGTGTAGGATGGAGAACGTAGTTTCCTGTTCATGCCAGACCCTCCTTTCTCAGCCAAGAGCCATGGAAGAGGGGGAGTCTGCACCTTAATTTGAGTGTCCCCCTTCAGCGATTGACTTGATCCTCCCGGGATGGGCCTCTGCCCAGCTGGACCCCTTCCCTCATCCTGGCTGCACAGCCTGTCTCCTCACATGCGCCAGACAGTGCAGGGCAGGATCAGGAGATATTCTGGGGTCTGTGTGCTGCCAGCCCGGCTCCGACTCCGCCCTTTGGAAAGATAACCACCATCTGCTCTAATCATGTAGACTTACTGCCGCCTGGTTTCTCTGTTACAATAAAATTACTGTAGACCCAGCCACTGTCTACTTTTCTACTTAATGGGGAAAGGGGTAGAAGTGGACATCCAGTCTGAAGTCTGGAGTCGTGTACAGCTGACCATAAGCCAGAAGATGTATCCGCTTTCCAGCTGACTGGAAATGCATCTTGTTCTTCATCCTGCCTTTCAACTAGTCTGGCCCAAAGGTGCCAACCAGGTGGGTGGAACTCCTCAGACCTCTGGAGACAGAGGGTGGGGTGTAACCCAACAAAAAAATACATTCCTCACAAAAGTGGGGAGGGGGGCAAATTTATATGAAAACACTAAAGACCACAGATCTTTAAAGAATCAAATCCTGAGCAAAAAAACAACTACCAGCTGTATCACAATGCCTGACCTCAAACTGCCACATAGTAGTGTGCTGGAGCAACAAAGGCAGGCCAAGGGAACGAAACAGGATCAGAAATACATCCACACGGCTATAGACGGCTTGTTTTGGGAGGTGGGCGGGGCTAGGAAAGTTTTTTTCTGTGTAGTCTTGCCTGGGACTCACTCTGTAAAACAGGCTGGCCTCAAACTCAGAGATCCCCCTGCCTCTGCCTCCCAGGTGCTGGGATTAAAGATGTGCACCATCAAGAACATACACTGGGGCCTGTCGGTCACCAAACCTGATGACCTAATTCGATTCCCAGAACCCACATGATGGTGACTTACCTCTGACCTCTGTGTATGTGCTGTGGCATGTATGCAAACATAAATGAAGAAAAAAAAAACCAGAAAAGACATTCAATAAATGATGCTGGGGGCTGGAGAGATGGCTCTGTGGTTAAGTGCATTGCCTGCTCTTCCAAAGGTCCTGAGTTCAATTCCCAGCAACCACATGGTGGTTCACAACCATCTGTAATGAGGTCTGGTGCCCTCTTCTGGCCTGCAGACATACACACAGACAGAACATTGTATACATAATAAATAAATATTAAAAAAATAAATAAATAAATGATGCTGACAAAACTAAATATCTACCTGTAGAAAAGGGAAACTGGGGAGTCAGAGATGGCACAAGTGTTCACAGCACTTGTTGCTCTTGCCAAGGACCCAAGTTTGGTTCCCCACACCTACAGGGTGGCTTAGCCATCTGTAACTCCAGTTCCAGGGGATCCAGAATACTCTTCTGATGAGGGCACCAGGCACACACTAAATTCACACTGTATACAACAGGCACATAAATCTGAAAGAATGAAATGAAATCTACATCTCTTCACTCTGCCCAAAATCATAAGCTTGGAATAATGGCACACAGCTTTAGTCCCAGCACTCAGTAGGCAGATGATCTGTGAGTTCAAGGCCAGCCCAGCCAGGATTACACAGTGAGACCCCCATCTCTCTCACACACCCTCAATTCGTAGTAAACCAAAGACGTTAATTTAGAACCATAAGCACTAAAACTGCCATAGAAAAGCATAGGGAAACATTTGTCATATAGTATGGGCAAGAACTTTCTTAAAACTCAACCTCGTGATACCATTTAGAGATGGGGCCTTCAGGAAGTGTAGAACCATCCAGTGGTATCAGGGACCTCATAAGAAGAGACTGGAGGGGCTGGAGAGATGGCTCAGTGGTTAAGAGCATTGCCTGCTCTTCCAGAGGTCATGAGTTCAATTCCCGGCAACCACATGGTGGCTCACAACCATCTGTGATGAGGTCTGCTGCCCTCTTCTGGTCTGCAGGCACACACAGAGTATTGTATACATAATAAACAAATAAATATTAAAAAAAAGAAGAAGAAGAAGAAGAAGAAGAAGAAGAAGAAGAAGAAGAAGAAGAAGAAGAAGAGACTGGAGTCAGCTTGCTTTCTCCCGCTGCTCTCTACATAGGAGAACACAGAATGGAGCAGAGCCGGAGGCTCACACCAGAAGCTTCCCTGCTGGTAGCCAATCCCAGATCTCCAAGCTCCCAGAGCAGCAAGCACTCTTAACCTATGAATTGCCTCTCCAGAATCAGACTTCAGGCATGAGATAAACCTTTATGAGATACCTGAACTTATCAACATTTCCATTGTTTAACCTACCCAGCTCTCAGCATCCAGTTATAGCAACCTAATTGGAAAAAGTGTGATTTCAATAGCAATTTTTCCTTAGGTCTCACTGTTGCTTTGGCTGCCCTGGGACTATGTAGACCAGGCTGGTCTCCATAGATCTCAAACTCACAGAGATCCACCTACTTCCCAAGTGCTAGGATTAAAGGTATGTGACACCATGCCCTACTCTGACATTTTTAAAAGTGAAAACCCTTTAGAAATTGTGAACAAGTGTCCGGGGAGGTGGTTCAGTGGGTTAGAGCATTTGCTGGGCGGTTTGTTAGAGCATGAGAACCTAAGTTGGAATCCCCAGAACCCATGCAAAAGTAGAGACAGCTAGATAGATCCTTGGAGCTCTTTGGGCAGCCAGTCAAATGACCAGCTTTGGGTTCAGTGGCAGGCCCTGTATGGAGAGAATAAGGCAGAAAACAATGAAGAAAGACATCCAATGTCCTCTAGCCTCCACATTCTGCCCACAGGCACATATCCCACATACATGTGCACATATGCATACACCATGCACACACAACACAGCCATCCATAAATAGGGAATGGATTCGAGATTCTAGGAAGCATCTGGTGGGAGGGAGGCAAGTGTTATGATTGGAAGAGGACTATTTCAGCCAGGGAAGAAGGTGGCCAACCAAAGATCTTCACTTCTCCCTAAGCTCCTCCACGTCCAAACCTTAGTCTCATCCCCATCTCTGTAGCCTATCACCGGCTGCAGTTCCCCCCCCCCCCCACCCCACTCCCATCTCCAGTAGATCACACACAGATCTTCCCCTCTTAACCTCCCACCCCTGACTTAATGCTTTATCCCAGCCCCCAGCTCCAGCAGCACTCCCTGAGAACCCGCAGACCACTCTGACCAGGGAAGCAAGTAGGCTAACCCTAGCTCTTCACTCTCCCTAAGCTCCTCCGGATCCAATCCCCCAGTCTCAGCCCCAGCTCTGTGGCAGAGCACCAGCTGCAGTCTTCCTCCTCCCACAGATCTTCCCCTCCAAGCTTCTCCCCTCTCCAAACCTTACTCATTGCTTTATCCCAGCCCCTAACTCCAGGGGGCGCTCCCTAGGAACCTGCAGGCCACTCTGGCCAGGAGGAAAGTGGGAGGCTAACTGCAGATCTTCAGCTCTCCCTCCAGAGACGGCCACTCAGATACAGTTTATAGCCAATTGGAAGTCTTTATTACAGCTGGCTAGAACTACACTCAGGTATTTGGGACCCAAGAGTAGTTTTGAGCATTTAGAGCAAGAGGCTTTTAGAGGGGGAAAAAAACCCATACATACATACACACATACACACACCATTCTGGTATCTTATTCAGCAGCTGCAGAAGGAGGCTTCGGTAAGCAAGCAGTTTAACAGAAGCTGAGATAAGCTAGCTGGGGCATCTTGGCTTTGGCTCCTAGAATAGAAGGTAATTTTCCAGGATTCTCCATCAAGATCAAATTCTACTGAAACCTAAAATGGCCTCGGCAAGAATACAAGATGGAAGAACCTTTGCACTATCTTGCCAGTCACGCCAATCCCCCAGTCTCATCCTAGGCTCTGTAGCAGACCATCTGCTCCGACCTCTCCTCACTCTCTGCCCCCATTCCTAGGGGACTAAGCTGATCCTGATGAATACCTGCTTTCCTCTCTCCTGTGGTCCCCGAGGAGCATCTGCCTTCATGTAAGGTGTTCTGTGTTGTGTGAGATGATCAAAGAAAGAGGTCACTCCAGATGAGGTGTAGACCTATGTGCCAGCAGGAAGATCCTGGCTCTGCTGCACGGGACTTAAACTGTCATGTGAAGGCATATTTACTGATGGTTGCACAAAGTTATTTTGGGGGTAAACAAGTAACTCATACCAAAGAATGGGAAGAGGTATTCCAAGTAAATGGACTTAAGAAACAAGTTAATGTCACCATTTTAATATATGGAAAAATAGCCTTCAAACCAAAACTAATCAGAAGAAGACAGGGAAGGACACTACATATTCATCAAATGGAAAAAAAACCATCAAGAGGACATTTCAATTCTTAACATCTATGTACCAAACACAAGGGCACCCGAGTTCATAAAAGAAACACTATTAGAGCTGAGGTCATATATTGACTGCTCACACACTGAGTGTGGGAAACTTCAGTACCCCACTCTCACCAACAGACAGGTCACTCAGACAAAAACTAAATAGAGTAACACTGGAGCTGACTGATGTCATAAGTCAAAGGAACCTAACAGATATTTACAGAATATTTCACCCAAACAAAAAATATATCTATCTTCTTAGTACCTCATGGAACTTTCTTCAAAACTGGCCACACACTTGGACACAAAACAAGTCTCAACAGATGCAGAAATGAAATAACACCCTGGGTCCTCTCTGACCACCATTAGTGAAAGCTGCATGTCAACAACAGACACAGCAGAAAGTTTACAGACTAATGGAAACTGAACAACTCTCTACCGAACGAAAAACAAGTCAAGACAGAAATTAGGAAATAAATTTAAAACTGTTTATTTATTTTTTTAAAGATTTATTTATTGGGGCTGGAGAGATGGCTCAGTGGTTAAGAGCATTGGCTGCTCTTCCAAAGGTCCTGAGTTCAATTCCCAGCAACCACATGGTGGCTCACAACCATCTGTAAAGAGGTCTGGCGCCCTCTTCTGGCCTTCAGGCATACAGACAGAATATTGTATACATAATAAATAAATAAATAAATATTTTTTTAAAAAAAGATTTATTTATTTATTATGCATACAACATTCCATGTATGCCTGCATGCCAGAGGAGGGTGCCAGATCTCCTTATAGATTGTTGTGAGCCACCATGTGGTTGCTGGGAATTGAACTCAGGACCTTTGGAAGAGCAGCCAATGTGCTCTTAACCACTGAGCCATCTCTCCAGCCCCTAAAACTGTTTAGAATTGAATGAAAATGGAAATACAACATATCCAAAGCTGTGAGACATAATGAAAA